AGATAGCCCGTTGTGTAGCTTTGTGCTTAATTACAAACAAATAAACCCACAAATTAATTATTTATAGGCGATTAAATCAGCACTATAAAACAATAATGAATTTAATATCGCAGTACCGTTATCGGTCCTAGTTGTCAACTTATTGTCATAACGGATAATGTCTGTGGTAATAGTACCTAATGCGTTGAGGATATCCCATCTATCAGACAATATCCAAACGCCGATGTCAATCTAGTCAGCCGTCATGGGAGAAAAAATCATCAATCAAATAAGGGTACGAAGCTGAGTGCTTACACCCACAACTTCTCAGCTTCTTCTGCCTTTCACTGTCTATAGCCAGTCCCCTTGTGGGAAGGCTTAAATTTCTTAAAGTAGAAATGAATTGAAATATTTCTACTAATTAAACTCCCAACCTCCACCCTTACAAAAAGATGTTAAATAGAATTATAAAATATTGAATAGTACTAAATATAACTATAAGATATTAAATATAACCTTGAAATATTGAATAGCACTAAATATAACTATAAGATATTAAATATAACCTTAAAATATTGAATAGTACTAAATATACCTATAATATATTAAATATAAGGTCGTTATGCTCATTGTCATGATATAAAAGATTGTTTGGTTTTAGATATTATTGATTAATTTAGTTTTGTGAGTGAATGTTTATTATTGTTTGGTTTTTGTTATAATAAGAGTTAAAAGCAGACGATTGTTAGAGGTTTTGTTAGTAATTCGTTGATGTCGAGAATATAGAAGGCAGACAAGACGATTAGATATTAAAGATATAAATAGAGTGAGACGAGGGGGAAGCAGCAGACAGATAATAGCGAAAGAGAATAAAGTGGGCGAGAAGTTGAGTTCCAGGAAGTGATAGGCCTAACGTTTAATATATTAGAGTGAAATTAACAGTAGAAAAGGAGATATGAAAAATAATTTTATACGTTCAAAGAGTAGTTATAAAATAATTGAATCAGCTTGAGTGCACTTTGACAAAAGGAACAGAAGATCTTCAGAAGAAAGAAGACCAAACGATTACGGTAACTCGCGCCACAATCACACAGAATACTAGTGCGACAACGAACACAGTAGCGATCGGAATACTATTTATATAAGCCATTTGATACAACAAAAATGTTTTAGTGTGAACGCATTAACTGTGAACGCATTAAGCTAACTGGCATTCAGGTGAAACTTCGTTCTGCCAAGGAGAATGACGGAATCCGATGGGGCGACTTCCCTGAGAAATACAACTAAACTTATATTAAGCTATTAGTATTTAGGCTTAACATAATGTTTTATGATAAATATGATTAATTATATCATGCTTCGCCAACTTCTAAATGAAGTTCACACCATAACAATTGTTAAAGTTACGACAACAGTTTCAGTACTAACAATAGTTTTTATTTAAAATTCGATAATAATTAACTCAACAATAATAACCTGAAGAAAATAATTATTTGAAAATAGTAATGTCAACAATCAAAATAGAATTAACCACTGTTAAAGTTGTGTGTCAATGGTTTTTATGCCTCATTTTTTACAAAAATATCTCAAGCCAATATTTTGTTGTTTTTTTCTCTCTTACAGGAATAAAAATCAGTTTGTGAGAGAAAAGTTGAAAAGAAGATTAATAGGAGTGTCTTTCCTTTTAATCTTCGTTGTGGTTTTCCATTTATATGTATGGAAAAATACATTTCTTCCGAAGAAGAGTGCCAGTTCCGGAAAAATTAGTCATAAATTTGCAAGTTTTATAAGCCCAATGTATGTCGAAAATTTTAAGCTAGTAACTTTTTCTAGAAGTGGATTTGTTACTATTTCACCAAACTTAACGTGTCTAATATCTGGAACTAATCTAACAAAGACGACGCTAGAAGGCGATGGTCGAAGTTGTGTTTGTTTACAAGGATGGTATGGGAAGGACTGTGGTTTGCCTCAGTCATTCTCAGCTTCTACATTTCCTTGGATCAGAAATCAACTCAAACGAAGGACCAGACCTCGAAGAGTGATTAATGCTATCAATATTAACAACGAGTTGGAACTGTTTGAAATTCGTGTGTGGGAACTTCACCATGTGGTGGACATTTTTCTTGTGTGCGAGTCGAATTATACTGCTGCTGGTGAGGAAAAACCTCTGCGATTATTTAAAAACTTACAGAATGGTTTTTTACAGGAGTTCCAGAAAAAGATTGTCTACGTTTTCCTGGATCATTTTCCAGAAGATGGTCGATTAAACGGTTGGGCAGCTGATAACTATCTTCGGACGTTTTTAGGACAACAGGGTCTATCACAACTCAGCAGTCTTAACGATGATGATTTATTTGTTTTGAACGATGCAGATGAAATTCCAAAAGCTGAAGTTTTAGAATTTCTTAGACAGTATGATGGTTATCCAGAACCAATCTCTTTGAAAATGAAATGGTACCTGTATGGTTTCTTTTGGCAGGAACTCAAAAAAACAATACGTATAAGAGCTGTTTCTACCATTAAAGTATTAAAAGAAGTATGGAAAAATGATGCAATTGAATTGCGACGTGAGAATATGCTGGAAACGTACAGAAGAACATCGAACAACAACTATAGCGTGTCTCTCAATCCATGGTTCTTAGGTTCGAATGAATTCCACGCAGGTTGGCATTGCTCTTGGTGCTTCAGTCCTGCTGGCATTCAGATAAAACTTCGTTCTGCCCAAGAGGATGACGGAATCCGATGGGGCGACTTCCCAGAGAAATACAACCTGGTTTACATTAAGACATTGATACGTGATGGTCTGTGGTTTGATAACACTAAGACAGTGGTGAAAAGAAACGTTTTCAGTTATGACGATGCACCTTACTATGCACTTAAAAATGCCGAGCGCTTTAAACATTTACTACAGAACCCTTTCGTTGAAGAAGAAGAAAATGCGAAAATATAAACTTTTAGATAGTTATAGATACGAAAACAATATTTTATTTTAGAATAATAAAAAATATAATGTTTTATTCAGTTATCAGTAACAAAATATCCATACCTCATATGCAGTTTTAGTGTTGAAGATGAACAGTTATTATTTAGTATCCAGGCTGAAATGTAAAAGTTTGTTTGTTTGTAATTAAGCATAAAGCTACATAATGGGCTATCTGTGCTCTGCTCACCACGGGTATCGAAACCCGGATTCTAGCGTTGTAAGTCCATAGATATGCTGCTGTGCCACTGAG